ATTTTCTGTAAGGTGCCATGACTGCTTGAAATCTGTTAATACGTGTAATCAGATGGGCAGCAATCAAAACCTAATCCTTGTGTTTAAAGGTTGGTAACTTACCCTTCACCCTCCCATTCCATTAACCCTGGATTTATATAAGTTTAGTGAACAACTCTTCCTTTATCTTAGTATTTATAAGCTTTGGGGTTATTTGCAAAAAAAAAAAAAAAGCTTTTACCAGGATAATAGGGACTTCCACCTTTGGTTAAATGCTAAAGCAGCTGAAGTGTAAATAGGCTGTCCTAACATTCAAACTGATGTCTATCCAAAAGCTTTGTTTTACAAATAAGGAAACTGAGGGTCAGGATGCTAAGGACCTCATGGAAGCACATCACAGGACAAGAAACCCATTGCCCTGCATCGTGCTTCCGCTTGGCATTTGCCCAACTGCCCGGTGATTAGTCTAACCTGGGACACATTGACCTGGGTGCCAGCAGTACATTGGGCCAAACAATTCTTTGTTGTTGTGATGTTGTCCTGTGCGCTGCAGGACGTCTAGCAGAATCCCTGACCTCTACTCTCCAGATACCAGTGCCCCCCCGCCCCCATCCTAGTCGTGATAACAACAAAAAAATGTCTCTAGATTTTGCCAAATGTCCCTGGAGGGGGTAAATCACTCCCAGTTGATGTCAACTGGTCTATCGCAGGCCATCTTATTGTTTTAATCAACTATTCTCTTTTATGTTTTCTGGGCAAATACTTTAAGACACTAATGCATCATGTTCTGTATTAGATTATTTAGATGGGAAAACGCAGTCTTTCCAAGAAAAGGGACTTCACTGCTTTTTTGGCACTTTCAAATAGAACTAAGGACAAATTCTGACTGGGGTTAGTCAGTCCCAACTTTTAGCATAAAGGGAGGTTAAGAAAGGGACAAAATACCGACTGACACTTTTGATCCGTGTTTAATGAAAAAGAAATTACAGGAATAGAAATGGACATAAAACAAAGAGATCAATTTGAGACAATATAGTGATAGATAGAACAAGGAAAAAATAACTTTGATCCTGAATTTACTTATATGTTCTTATTAGTTATCAATGAGCCAAAACATCTTCTTAAATTCAAAACAGAGTGATAGTTAGAATTTTACCGATGTTTTCATGGGAACTCACCAAAGTAATGTCCAAACAATACTGTTTTATTTCCCCCAGAACACACACAAGCAAAGGCGGAGATGTTTACCAGGAGGTAACGTGGCGTGAAGAAAATGCAACCTTATCAACTTTTCATTACAACAGCAAGTTAGCACTGGCAAAAGTGCTTTTAGCACAAACATGCTTTCTGCTAATATTTTCCTGAGAAAGCTTTTATGATATGCAACCATTTATTCTTAGTACAACCAATCACTGAGGGATGAAACCTAACTCTACTGAACATAAATATATGCAGAGAAATTTCTGACGGTTCAGATTGGAGCACCGTTGAAATGTGAACAGCGTGAAATTTAAAAACACGCATATGTGAGACAACAGTGAGCATCTTACTAGTGTGTTTCATGGCTTAATTCTGTCCATGACTCTTAGTTCGTGAATAAGTCAATACTCTATTTCTATCATTTTCTACCCTGATGTACAGCATGATCGTATCTTGCTAAATAAGAAAAAAAATATCTTCAGAAACAAATTAAGATCTCTGAAAATTTGTACTGATAATAGGTTCCCTTCAACTATCTGATTTAAAATACAAGATCCCTTCTCTCAAACTAGATCTGGCAAGCATTAAACTCATTAGTATAGACGTTTGCCGTGTGGATAATAAGGGGAAGCAATAGATTTTACTCACTACCCCTTTAAAATAAAAATCTTTCGGCCAGCGCACAGCAGTCGCCAAACTCTTAGGCTCACATTGAATAACTTCAAGTTAGGACGAGCCCTGTCTCTTCTGATACTGTATTCTAAGCTTCTCCAGTTGTTCTACGCATTGGGACTGGGCCAGCTTCAACGTCCGATTCTCCTCCGTCAGAGCCTCGAATTCCCGCGCCAGCTGAGCGGCATCCAGCTTCTCCTTTTCCGCCTGATCCAGCTTGGCAATGAGCTCCTTTCTGAAGATGCAGGGGCCAGGCGAGGAAGAAGCACAGAACACAATGCAAACAGATTAAATGACACAGTAACAGCATCGCGGACGCAGAATAGGTCACTCTACCCTTCTAAATTTTACCCGTCTCTGCTTGCCCCCAATGACTTGCTTGCATTTTCCAGCCTCACAAGTGTTACAGCTCTTCATTCTACTCCAGCCCCCCTACTAGATATATCCAAAGTAGTAAACACATACCCAAAAAAGCTCAATAAGTCCTTTGACAGTCAAAAAGAGTGATCTTTGTAAGAGTACCAAAAAAAAGTAAAAATTACTACTTTAGAGGAAAAACACAGAAAAATTAGTTTATAATATAAGATGCCACCTGTTGTCTTATGGGTGGGAGAATCATAGCTTTACCTTACTAATCTTTCTCCTCCAAATTCAGTTATTATCTTCTATTGTTTTCTATCTTTGAGTTTAACCGATCTGTACTAGGCTTCTTTGAACTAAGAAATTCCAATTGTTTCCTGCAGATATTATTTTCCATGTCTTTCTCTAGTCTCTCTCTCTCACTCTCTCTCTCTCTCTCTCTCTCTCTCTCTCTCTCGATATATATAGGGGTGTGTGTGTGTGTGTGTGGTCACCCTAATTTACAAAGCAACACACCTACATGTGGTACTGGCCTTACTCAGGAAGAGGCTAAAGTTATTGGAGGGAACTTGCAGTGATGATGCTTTAAACAAATTCAATGTTCAGTAAATATGTGTAAATAATTCATTGATGTAAATAGACATAATAATAAGCTAAAGACTGGCTAAAATCATGTTTAGATTTAATAAGCACGACAACCCAAAACAGGTCCGTTCCCCTTTGTGTGTCAGTTAATCCTAAACTAGACTTAAGTGAATTCTCCTTTGCCTCTATACAAGGGTATTTCACACTTCTTCCTCCTCTGTAGGGAGACGTGCAGAGAAACCTGGAAGACCACTCTCACCAAGTGACCAAATTTGATATCATTAGTAATGAGATCGGTAGACGTGGCACGCACCACGAAGGACATGACATCCTTTCTGTGGCATTCCTGCCAGAAGTGCACACACCAGACAGCCTCAAATTAAGGGAATTGCTTCCAAATAGCTAGCCTGTACTCTTTAAAATGTTTTTTTAAAAAACAGTTTCATATTTATACCAACTAAAAACAAATGACAACTAAATGCAATGTGCAATTCTGGACTGGAAACAAGGGCTGTGAAGGACATTATTGGGAAAGGGAAGCAGTATAAATATGGGCTGTGAATTAGATAATAGGACTGTAGCAATGCTAAATTTCTTCATTTTAATTATTGTACTGAGGTCAAGTGAAAGAATGTCCTTGTTCTTAGGAAATACTCACTGAAGTATTTAGGGCAATGGAGAATAAGATATATATCTGTATATGTGCATGTAATATAGATAGATAGATACTCCATCTCTAAGAGAGAAAGAGAGACAACCCCAGTAGTGTGCAGTGTTGGGGGAGGGAGAATAAAGCAGAACTGGGGAAATTTTTAACAATGAGTGAACTCAGTAAAGGATATATGGGAGTTCTTTATACCAGTTTTGCAACTTTTCTGTAAGTTTGAAACTAGCAAAATAAACAGTTACCCCAGGAAAAAGATAAAGAGCAAATCAGAATAGAATTTCTAGTATTTTCTTCCTGCATTCAATGGACTGCCTTGTGCACCCAATTTGGTGACCACTTAGTAAATCCAGGCGTTGTTAAGAAAGTGCCCAACAGGGACAAAGGGAAAATCACTTGGAACATTGATGTGCATGTACACAAAGTTTCTTTGGGCTTTTGTTGGTCTTTGAATCTTCCCTGGCGTTTAGAATATAAAGCCTCACAATAAACACTTGTTGAATAAACAATTGAAGAGTAAGGCACCTCAGAGACAAATACCATATTTTAAAGATGAGGAAATAGAAACTCAAAGTGCTTAATCTAACTGAAAAAGTCATACAGCCACAAATCAAACCTACCCTTTTGAATAAATGTTTAGAGTTCTTTGCCTCTAAGGATAGTTTGAGCAATAAATGTCAATAATTAGATATGAGTAAAGTTCCTTATGTAACTCTCTTGAGGAAATTGATCAGTAAAACATATAAATAGAAAGAGACATGCCTCTAAATCCCTTACCCTTCAAATTATCTATTCCTGTTATTTTCTGCCTTTCAAATTAACTGTGTCACAAAGATGATGGCTACTGTCTTGGTTCCATATCTGAGCCCATTTAAAACTCCTGAGGACATCTGTCATTAGTTTTGACTGGTAGGAAAAATAAATCACAAAATCACAGATTTTACAGCTAAAAAGAATGGTGGTTATTGCCTAGTCCAATCTTCTTGCATCAGAGAAAGTCAATAATAATTTCTTCTTTACTGGAATCAACAAGTCTCAACTGACAGAATTCTAAATTAGTTTCATGTATTTGATAAGCAGTTATATATCTGTTTAATGAATACTGTCAAAACGTCTATTGTTTCCTGCCCAAGACCTATTTATATAGACAAATTGATGCTGATTCATTAGCAATTCATAATTATACCCTGCACAGCGAGCTACAGAGATAATCTTATAAAAAGATGATCTGAGGAACAAGTCAATAGGTGTATTTGTCTAGAATGTGGTCCTGCCTTTGAATTCTTGTTTATCATTTCTGTCATTCCCTTCAATGTCATGTGATAAAGGTGTAGAAGACCATTGTTACAGGAACCTTATTTCTGAAGTCAAGACCTGTAACATAGTTTTCCACGTGATGTACCTCAACAGTGAAAAGGTCATAACCTTGGCTCCACCATGCATCAGCTCCTGTCCCCATCCTAAGCCACATGCCTGGAAAAATGTGTTTGCTAAAACAAATGAGGAAAGGGAAAAATCCAAATGAGTTGGTAAAGAGAACTTTGAAGATTTGTGGAAACTAACTTCAAAATTAAGGAGATTCTTTATGCTGCAAGAGGTTGGGAAATGGATTCATTATGAGGACAAATATTTCTTTGTTTCTGGAAAGATCATTACTACGATTCTTGGAACTTTTAAAGTTGACTAGAGACTTTTATTTGGAAAAAATAAAATCCTAGGCAGTTTGGCCCCCATGAGCTAAAAAGTTTTGGATAATAAGGTAATAAAATACTATCTTCATAATGGGGAGAATTTTAGTTTAAATAGTGATTTAGACTGCATTGTTGTGTTTTTTAAATGATGTGTGTTCTGTTACCAGCATTTATACACAGGAGAGATGGAATAGATGCTTCAAGATGACAAAGGGAAGGGAGGGTATAGCTCAGTGGTAGAGTACATTCTTAGCAAGCAAGAGGTCCTGGGTTCAATCACTAGTACCTCCATTAAAACATATATAAATAAATAAACCTAATTTCCTCCCCAAACACACACACAAAAACAAAACAAAAAGATGACAAAGAGGGCTATTTCTATATGATGCCTTTACAAATTACACAAGCTCCTTTCTCCCCCAACCTGATACATTCCCTTCAATAAGATGTTGCTCCCTCAATCATCATTTTATGTATTTTAAAAAAGACATGAAAATAAACAATGATATTGATTGATTCTCTTATGAAAACCCTTTTCTAATGTCTTGCCTGCCCCTAGAATTATCATAGCATTTTTCAACTCAATAATAAAAAGACATGTAAGTCAGTTTTAAAATGGGCAAAGATCTGAATGGACATTTCTCCAAGAAGTCACAGATGTATCTACTCCTAGGTACATAACTAAGTGAATTGAAAAGATATGTCCACACACACACTTACATACGAATGTTTGTAGCAGCATTATTTATAATGCCAGAAGTGCAAATAACCCAAATGTCCATCAGCTGATGAATGGATAAATGAAATATGGTATAGCTATACAATGGAATATTATTTGACACTAAAAAGGAATGAAGTACAGGCATACCTCATTTTATTACACTTTGTTTTATTGTGCTTTGCAGATTTTGTGGGGTTTTTTTTTTTAACAATTTGAGGTTTTGTGGCAACCCTGCACTGAGCAAGTCTCTTGGCACCATTTTTTCCAATAGCTCACTTCATGTCTGTGTCTCATTTTGGTGATTCTCACAATATTTCAAACCTTTTCATTATTATTATATTTGTAATGGTGATCTGTGATCAGTGATCTTTGATGTTATTATTGCCAAAAGACTACAACTTGCTTAAGGCTCCAATAACAGTGTTTTTAGCAATAACGTGTTTTTTAATTAAGATACGTGCATTTTTTAAGACATAATGGTATCGCACACTTAATAGACTACAGTATAGAGTAAACAGAACTTTCACATACATAGGGAAACCAAAAACTTTGTGTGACTCTCTCTTGCAATATTTGCTTTGTTGCAGTGGCCTGGACCCGAACCCACAATGTCTCCAAGTTCTGCCGGCACTGATGCATGCCACAACACGGATGAACCTTGAAAACCATGCTAAGTGAAAGAAGCCAGTCACAAAAGACCACATACTGTATGATTCCACTTATCGGAAATCTCCAGAACAGGCAAATCCATAGAGACAGAAAGTAGATTAGCAATTGCCAGTGGCTGGTGGGAGGAGAGAGGAATGGGAGGTGACTATTCAGGGGTACAAGGTTTGTTTCTGGGGTGATGAAAATGTTCTAAAATCATGATGATGGCTGCACAACTCTGTGAGTCTACCGAAGACCACTAAATTTTTTTTAAGTTATGTGACATTTTTCAAGCTGACTATTCTAAGTTTATCTCTTTTTCTGACATTCTAAGTCAATCTTTTAAACACCACAGCACCTAACACAATTTTTGATACATAGAGCAATAAAGTGGTTTCTCCTTTGAGCAAGATAAAATACAAAGCAACTTTTACTAACGGTAAATCTAATTGCAGAGCTAACTATAGTTTAACCATACACTTTAAAAAAAACATTCAAATAGAGGAGAGGGGACAGTTCACTGGTAGAGGACAGGCTTAGCATGGACGAGGTCCTGGGTTCAATCCCCAGTACCTCCCTTAATAAATAAATAAATAAATAAATAAATAAATAAATAAATAAATAAATAAAATTTTAAAATAAAAATAAAAACGTTCAAACAATGTAGTGATAAATTTCAAATGCTGTAAAATATCTATATCTCACTTCCATGAGTTTCCATTACATACACAAAAAACCTGTATGTATTATATAATACTTATAATATTTATTGAAAAAGCATGTATACATTTTATGTTACCATATATGCAATTATCTAAAAAATATCTATGCACATTCAAAAGGCCTAGAAAAAAATGCAAAAATGATAGTAGGAGGTCTGTAACAATGTCAGAATTCTTGGTAATTTTTAAAGCTTTCAATAAAATTATCTTTTTTTTCAGTTGAGAGGAGAAAAATTTTCAAGGAAAGTAAGAACAAGCTTTTTGTACATCATTGGTCTATAAGCCAGAAGAAATTCTTTCAATTAAATTCACTCCATGCTGAGTTTGTAATCCTAGAAAATGTTTGACTGTTTTTATCTACCCAACAGACATGATTTTAAAAAATGGTTGTAAACAACTATTCTCTCCCCTCTGAAAAGTCTCACAAACTAGATCCAGGGAGACCCCCTCTGGAGATGAGAGAGAAGTTCAGCTTAACTTGTGCCCACATGGCTCCAGTAAATAGAAAGGGGAAGGGATAAACTGGGAGTTCAGGATTTGCAGATACTAACTACTATATATAAAATAGATAAACAACAAGGTCCTACTGTATAGCTCAGGGAACTATATCCAATGCCTTGTAATAGCCTATAATGAAACAGAATATAAAAGGAATATATATGTGTGTGTGTGTGTGTGTGTGTGTGTGTGTGTGTGTGTGTGTATAACACCAGAAATTAACACAACATTCTAAACTGACTATATGTCAGTTTAAAAAAACAAAAATCTCTTAAAACACCTGAGTTAGCATCTCTCTGTGCATCTAGCTTACACCAGCCAATCACCAGAAGCAACATAATCAGCCACACTTTATTAAATGAGGGGGAAGAACTTCTCATCCAAATCATCAAAAAATGGAGAACTAATTACTTGGGTCAAATCCATTTGGCCCAAGTTATCTTGCTTGAACACAAAAGCTGTTCAGGAAAATATCTGTTACAAAGTGAATTTCTTCTTCAGTGAAATGTTAATGAAAACACAGATAACCAATAACTCTTGGAGGACCAAGCTCACGTATTTATAAATATAAGATATAACCATACTTCCTATTTTAACAATTTATCTGAGTAATTCTTTATTGCTGATATTGACTCTGTACGTTCAATACAGGCCACACAAATCACAGATAAAACTGCAGAGGACATTACCTATAGTCAGCCGTGTAGATCACCCCTACTCGTATTTTACCCTACACGCAGCTCCCCTGTTCAGTGATTGGGATACAAAGAGGTATCAAAGGGTATCCAGGTCTACAGAAAACTACACAGTCAGAAAGACAGGACGTGAACTTCAGCAGATAACTGCTGATGACACTAGCCTGCAAAAAGTACCGAAAGAAAAGAGCGCTGATCACCGTGGGAAGGTTGGGGCCAGGCAATGCACCAGGCTTTCCTCAAGGTGAGCATTTGGACAGGCAAAGAGGAAGGGCAGGGACTCTAGACAGAGATCTTGGTGGGAGTAAGGGCGCCGAGGCAGGAAAAAGTGAATAATAGGGTCATGTGGCTGAAGATGAGGGATGAGCTAGAACATTCCGCAGAGGTACTAAGGCCATACTGAGGTAGATCTTGAATTCCAGCCCAAGAACTGGTGTCCTTCTCTAGTAGTATGAAACCATGGACAGGAAACCAGTTATAATATTGCCTTGACCAAGATTGAAGTAATAAGTCCCGATCTCAAATGGTAGAAGTGAGGATGAAGAAAAGGGAATCTGAGAGACTTTATCAAAGAAAGGAAAAAAAAAAAAAGAATGTGATCTTTGCCTCACAGCTAGCCAATTAGGGAAAAAAGAAAAGAAAAAAATGACAACATCATGGTTTCAAGGAAACATCAAAGTTCAAATAGGTTTGGGAAGGAAAGTATGATTAGGTTAGCAGAAACAGCAGGGATGTTTCAATAAAAGACCAGATGAATCCCTTTCATCTTGTTATCCTATTGTATTTTTTAATGCAACATATAAAAATATAAACTTATAAAACATATAATTTGGTTGATAAATCTTACATCGCCCCTCCCCGCAAAAGAGCCACACATGGGGTTAATTTAAATAACAAAGTCCTCCAGCACCTTCAATCTAAAGTGTTTACAAATAAATACATAATTACCTGGTGTTTTTTTTAACTGTCACAACATTACAGTTCACACACACACACACACACACATACACACACACTGGGAGATACATTTCTAGGTTACTGATTATAAAGTCCTCCTTTAACTTCACCACTGGTTACATTATTAATAAGCTTCTTGAGTTCCTTTATGAAACATTTTTTAGGACTCAGATCGTGTGTAAATGTACAAATGAGCATTCCAACCAATGTATGAAAATTCTTAGACCAAAAAAAAGTCTCAGACATGTGAAAGAAAAAATTGTGTTTCTGATCTCATGAACATCTTTTAATCTCCTATAATCAAAAGTCTAGGTATGACTTTATGTCTGAAGCACAACAAAGCAAGGAAGTAAGAAACGATTGGTAACATGCTCACGGAAGTCTGACAGTAAGTGACCTAAAGCCCATACGGCTCCTCACCGGTGTTGCGCTGTCTAGCCATCATTCCGGGGGGTTTCCAGAGGGTCCCAAGAATTTCATAAATCTCTCAAAACAGAATATATTTCACTTGTATTCATTCAAAAATTGTTTTAAATAAATATAAATATAAATAAATATAAATGTAAGTATGGAGTGATACCATATATCACTCCAGTAAAAAGAAGGAGAGATGCAGAAAGTTATAGAATCACAGTATGTTTGAATTATGTGTCACTCATTCAACAAAAATTGATTCAGTATTTACATGCCACGTACTGTGCTAAGCTTCAGGAATATGATGGTGAATAATATTGGCCTATCTCCCTTTTTATGGCACTTACCACTTAGCAGGAGATGCAAATATTAATCAAAAGATCTCCCTAATAAACGTGTAAGTAGAGGGTAGGGTATAGCTCAGTGGTAGAGCACATGCTTGGCATGCATGAGGTCCTAGGTTCAATCCCCAGCACCTCCATTAAGGGGGGGAAAAAAAGAGAGAGAAAGAGGGAAATTAAAAAAAAAAAAAGCCTTAAAAAAAAAACACTGACCAGTGCTACGAAGAAAAGACGTCTGATGCTTTGAAAGTATGAAAGAAGGGAGATCCCTGCGTAGACAGCAGCAGGATTGTGTGCAATTAAAAGGAGGAAAATTCGGAAGCAAAAAAGTTATGAGTAAGTAAAGTGAGTGCTTTAATTAATAGAACTGCATAATTCCCTGAGCAGAACTGTAATGATAATAGAAGCTATCAAGATAAAAACTTACTGGACTATTGGGCTATGAAACACAGTTAGTCAATTAATATGTTTACGTTTATTCCAAAGAGCTATCCCAGTGGCTTCTTTGCTTGACATGGGTTCACACCATTTAAGCATTAAAATTCACCCCAAGACAAAGAGCTCTGGGGCCTTTGGGTACATTCACAGGGAACATAATATGGCTCTAGGTGGTATTCTGGCATTTGTAATTTCCTGAACTAAAAAATGCTGATTAAAAAATTAAGTTTTGAATAGAAAGCACTCCTGCTGTTCCTCTTACTACTCTGTGGAGCATTTAATCTAGCATAGTCCCATTTGGATCACTTCTAGAATCAAACAGGACACACATGGAACCCCTGAACCACAGAGCATCAGTTCTCCTCCCCTCCAGCCCCTCCCCCTCTCGTTCCCATGCTCAGCCTCTCCCTTCCCTACCGCCCGCAGCCCCTGCCCCAGTCCATGACCAGCTGACAGCGTTCAGAGATGAGGGCGCTCAGGGGAACAGTACTTACTTTCTTTCCTCAAGCAGGGCGATTTCCTTTTTAACCTCCCGGTATTCTTCTGCTATTTGGCAGTGCTGTTTGAACACCTGCATGGATTCCATGGAGTCATGACAAGGTGGCAGAGGCTTTGCAAACAAGAAGAAAAAAATCAGTCTATTTCCATGCATCAGAATAAGTTACCAACCATTGTGCTCTGCTGACATTCTTCAGAGGGAGATTTTTTCTGTACAAGAATAGCATTGTCAATCAACACTGAACAGACTTCGGCTGACTCTTCTTGACTACAAATAGAGACGTGGTCCAATATTCCAGTGTTACTGATGAGCATCCCCAGGCCTAAGCCAGAGCCAAGGGACCCTCTACATGTCAGTTACCTGCCATGTGCTGGAGTGAACATACGTCCCCTAGTAATTCCGTCCCTCTCTCCAGAAACCTTAAACTCTGCTTTAGAGAGTTCGTGATGGGGCAGTATTTCAGCGGTCTGTTTCAATCAGCTCTTGCTTTCTGTTCCTGTAGCTCAGAGGCATAATCTCGTTCTGTAGAGCAGAGTAGCCCTACGAGTAAGGCTGTCTTTGGAGAAATGTATCCAAACTGAAGAAATGATGCTGACCTGGAAATAATGCTTGCAAGGATGAATGAACCATATGAAAGACCAAAGCCCAAGTGAAACAATGTTTATAACATATGCAGCCAAAGAGAGGAAGGATTCGTGTCTTTGCTTTTCTCCCATCCAAGAGGGAATTAGAGGCCAGCATGCAAGCCTTTCTCATTGTAACATGCTGAAAATCCTATTTCCAGAAATTATTTTTTAAGAACTGGCTTTCCCTGAGTTTGTAACTCTAAGCTCTAATTAGCAACATGTTATCAAAAGCACGACCTTGAGAAACACTAGTTAATAGTCTTTTAAAGAGGTTTTTAAGCACCCTTTTCAATTATTTATAGAAAAATGTTACATAGCATCTGAAAAATAGGACTTAATTGTTAAATAGGCTCTTTCGTCTAATCCTTTCTTCACAATAGTCTTTATTTGTAAACTATGTGTCTGGGTCACAGCCTCACTCATTTTATATTAGTAAACGAGAACTAATGAATTTCTCACTACTTGCTGCTCTCATTGTGTTCTCCAAGAACACAGATTTCTTTGGGTGTCATATTTAGCGACCCCACCCAGGATGCAAAAGAAATTCTAGATAGTACTACAAAATTCTATAAAATCTGATTGATAAATAAGATGGCCCTTCTTATTTATCAGGAAGCCTCTGAGAAGAGATCTTCTAAAGGAAGTAAAGTTTGACATAGAGGTGGATGAAATTTACCTTCATGCAGAACATCTGTCATATTCTAAATCCGTGGAAAAATCTAATAATAGTTACACTGGGTGGCACCTTTCCCTGCTGCCCCACGAACACATTCACAGCATAAACTCAGCCTGTTGGAACCATTATCCTTCTCCATAGTGAAAAAAAACTGAAAAGTAGTGCCCAGTCGTATTACAGGATAACTCACCCTATGAGATAAAGCCATTGCCAAAGGACTTCAGAACTCCTGGCTCCACCAGTCTACGTCCTAGAAATCACCACCCTCTCGTCAATTTTCACCTGTTACACTGGCAAATTACCAGGTGTGACAGTAGGGGAAATGATAGTAATTTACTCTGGGCACCCTAGCCAAGCTGCTAGTAAATCATCTGTGCCCAGTTAAAGGATTTGCGCACAGGAAAGCCCTAAGACTCCACGCATCCTTATAAACTACTCATAAACTACACTATCTTCAGCCCATAACTTGCCACATGGAGGTACCCGAACCACGAATTCAGCATAGTCACCTACACGACAGCCAAAATATTCTGAGACTCTGTGTTTGCACACCTAAGAGTATAGATGAGAGTAGCTGTGGAAAGGGATAAATGCCCTTTGCTGCTATAATTAAGAAGGGAAACTGAAATTTACAGATATAATTTTCTTAAGAAGAGAGAGGCCTCTCTCCTCCCCCCTTGGCTTGCCACCTTGCAGTGCTTTTTATTAACAGGGAAGGGTTTTCATTACCTCTGTTTTTATTGGCACTTCTTAATTGTGGGACATTTGAAGATATTTTTATGTGCAAGTAGCAGGATCATGCTAAGGGTACAGGAAGTTAGGGAGTATTTCAGGATAGATTCAGTATCTTCATATGCTCTTAGCAGGATGATCATGCAATACATCACAATATTTCCAAGACTGCACACAATTAAGAAGTAGTGTCAACTGAAAGAGAATAAGCCAAAAATCCTTAGTGTTCAGTGTTTCAGGGAGTGAAAGGATGCCAGCTGTCATTTCAGCCCCCGGCTCCTGCAAACTAAGTCTTCATCCCAGCCTGACACTTAACTCAGCACCACTACAAGTTCTCCCAATTTTTATGAAAGTTTTTAAGAACAATACAGATTTTCTTATGCAAGGAGGGAAGTTATATTGCACAACATTGTAAAATGAGCTCATTGGTTGCCAGGGGCTGAAGGGAGGGTTAAATGAGGAGTTGTTTTTTCATGGGGATAGAGTTTCTTTTTTTTTTAAATTGAAGCATAGCCAGTTTACAATGCTGTATCAATTTCTGGTGTACAGCATAATATCAGTCATACATATTCATACATATACTGATTTTCACATTCTTTTTTATTGTAAGTTACTCTAAGATATTGAATATAGTTGCCTATGCTATACAGAAGAAACTTGTTGTTTATTTTATATATAGTAATTAGTATTTGCAATTCTTGAACTCCCAATTTATCGCTTCCTTCCCCTTTCCCTCCCTGGTAACCACAAGTTTGTTTTCTGTTTATGAGTCTGTTTCTGTTTTGTAAATAAGTTCATTTGTGTCTTTTTATTTTTTAGATTCCACATATAAGTGATATTATATGATATTTTTCTTTCTCTTTCTGGCTTACTTCACTTAGCATGACAATCTCCAGATTCATCCATGTTGCTGCAAATGGCATTACTTTATTATTTTTATGGCTAAGTAGTATTCCATTGTATGAATATATCACAACTTCTTTATCCAGTCATCTATCAATGGACATTTAAGTTGTTTCCATGTCTTGGCTATTATAAACAGTGCTGCTATGAACATTGGGGTGCATGTGTCTTTTTGAATTAAAGTTCCCTCTGGATGTATGTCCAGGAGAGTGACTGCTGGATCATATGATAAATCTACGTTTAGAGGAATCTCCATACTGTTTTCCATAACGGCTACACCAAACTACATTCCCATGGGGTTAGAGTTTCAATTTTGCAAGATGAAAACGTTCTGGAGATGGGCTGCACAGCTGTGTGAATATACTTAACATGACTGAACTGTACACTTAACATGGATTAAGATGGGAACATTTATGTTACGCATTTTTACCACAATGAAAAAAACAGTTAACGCAAAAAAAAATTATCCTTAGATCCTGTGCTACCCCAAGTCCATTTTCTAAGCATTTGCTACCAGGATTCCCTATCTGATGCTCACTTCATTCGCACCCAATCTTTCTGCCCTTCCCAAATTTCTACTTAAAATTTCTCACCTCTTTATAATTCAAAGCCATTGACCTCTAAACGCAAACATCGCTGGACAAATCAAAGTGTCCTCTGGTCAGCAGGACCTACTGTCCTTAGAAGTCATTTGACATCACTGGAGATTGACCTCAGCTCAGGAAATTCATCAAAGAATTCATCAAAGAATCTTTTAAACACGTAATGTTCTCATCCAAACAGGAATTCTGGTGAATAAGAGTATTGAGATATCTAGATTTTATACCTGATGTAAAAAGTAGAACTATAGCGGGGCGGGGGGAGCGGGTTGCTCAGGGGTAGAATGCATGCTTAGCATACACAAGGTCCTGGGTTCAACCCTCAGTACCTCCATTTAAAAAAAATTAGTTAAAAAAATTTTTAAGTAAAACTATAGAGTAATGAAATGTCTCATATGACACAGCAAACTCTCATCGTTTTATGATATAATGTCGGTTTGTGTGTATGTGTGTAGTATCGTGAAGTCCTCACCAAGGTGACTCCTCCTACCGTCTTATAAACCCTCAAAATAGGAGACAATATATAACCAGCAGGGTCCACTGAATAAAAGTGTTTGCCTGAGGAAACAGGTTCCTAAAATTCAAGCACAAAAATCAGGTTTCCAATTTAAAAATGGAGCTACTAGTAGGCTTACGTCAATGTGGCATGTAAAACACTGGCTCTCGTGAATTACTCAGCTGTACGTGGATTTAAGATACTGCTTAACATGTGTTCACATTAAAAACTTAAAAAAAAAAAACCTTAGAAGGCCTGTGGTAACCAGATGAAAAGCATCTATTGACTTCTGGGAATAAAAATTAACACCTTTATTTTTATTTCAGTTCTTATTGCTCCATTCTGACTGTTCTCATCCAAGAAGTTTTCATACCTATAATCTCATGCTGGGAACAGGCAAGCAGTAAATAAACTCTGCGCTGATAGCGAATTTCTTTTTGCATCAGGAAGAGACAGTGTCCTTGTCCTTTTCTCCACACTCACCCTACATCCTTCCATCATTTGGACCCATGTATCACACACTCTTGCTTAAAGAATAAAATGTTGCTTTCCAAAGAAAAGGAATCCAAAGATACTTTATTTGAAAATGAAAAGATAAAAGTACCCTTCAGGCACCAGAGCACACATCCTGTAGGATCACAGAAACAACTTTTCAGATACGCTCGATGCCATGGATACTCACAACTCAGCCAGTTCTGAGAAGGTTAAATTAAGACATCCTTGTAATAGTGTCTCAAGCCAACTCTGAAACACATTTTCCCAAGACACAGATTGGGGTTTGGATGAGGTCAGAGCCCAGGGGGGAGGCACTTCCTCTTCACCCCCTTTCCTCCATCCCTTCCTCATCCTGCTGCTGCCCGAGCTTGCAAGGGCTTTAAATTACATGGCTGTCCAAGTGAGCCGCTACTATCTCTGGTATCCGCCCCGATCATCAGGACCAATTTAACAAGATGAAGTAAGAGAGAAACCACAGGCTCCTGTTCCAAGAATGCCAGCTTGAGCCACACCATCCCCTCTCCGCTCTCTGCCCGGGCCATCGGGTTATAGCAAGCTCCTCCCGAAATGTACTAAGTCCTCTG